ACGCTAATCACATGACTATAGAAATGTTCAAAAATATCCTAAAGTTACAAAGCAGAATAAATATCATTATATAATTCTTCATGCTGAGGGGTGGGAGGGGATCTGTCTCCCTTTGCTCATATCTCCCATTAAAGGGAAATCAGGAACATGCATAAGATGGCATTTGCAAAGTGAAGAAAATATTTGTTCAACTGCCGCTGCTGCAGTGAAATGAAGTGGCAATACTGGGTCCAGGAATGACAGGCTTAGGTTAAACGTTATTCTGCAAAGAGTGTCCTTCAGAACATAATCTGCAGAGCAAATTCTGGCATGATTTTTTTCTGAGTTGCCATTTTATCCAGATTTCCCTTGTGAAGCTTAGTTTCAAATGGATTTTCCACAGGCTTCCCTGTAACCCATGTTCCACGACAAGTGCATCAAGCAACACTGGAGAGCCGTGCTCGGCGTATGTACTTTGCACAGTCGAAAACTGCTGTGCATGACCACTGAGCACCCAGCCCAGCAGATGGAGGGACAGAAGCCAGCAGGGTCCTAAAAAGGAGAAGGAGCTTCAAGCAGGGACATCCAAACTTGAAACTCAAGTCAAGAAGGCTTTCATATCCTATAATTGTCCTCTAAGCATCCTTGGCACATTTCTGCTTTATTGGTTCCTCTCCTGCCTGCTTATTTGTGATATCCTAGGAGTTTGTAAAGCTTTCTTGCTAATGTCCAAATAAAATGCATTTCATTCCTTCAGCATGGTAACTATAGCTTTGTGGCTTATTACTGTTGGTATAATAACCATTTGATGCCAAGGTAATTGTCTAAACCCATGCCAATAGTTTGATATTCCATAAACCCAAGCTGAAAATATTTTTAACTCCTCAAATGCAAACAGATTAACTAATCCATGCAAAATGTCAATATCATGGAAGATAGCTGTATGTAACTCTTGAAGAGGAAATTTAGAAATAAAATATAACACATTTTATTTTTAATGATAAAAGTACTAGAGTCCTTTTTTTTCAATTTGACACATGAAGGGAGATGGGGAATCAGTCATAATTCCATAACTTTAACATTCATTGCAAGTATTTTGGGAACTTCCAAGTTTTTTTTTCTTATGTAGGTTTTTCCATATAATAGTATCATTGTTATATACGCATCTACTTGTGTAACCTTTTTTTTTCAGTAAGTCATCTAAGCATTTTCAATCCTAATAAATATGTATGATCATTTGTGGACTATTATTTTAGTGACTTCATAAAATACCATAAGGTACATTGGTCTGTTATTGGACATTAAGTATATGAATAATTATTCTTACACATATAAAAAGCAAAGGAAAGAGCCTCCCCTTCCACAAAGATGAAGTAGAGGGACATTTCCCCTTTCCTCTCCCTAAGTATGACTAAAAACTCTGGAAATTATATAGACAAATATAAGCAGACTCTGAAAGGTGGAAGAAGAGACCAAACCATCTAGGGTTCTTGATATCCAAGAACAACATGGTGCTGAGTTTCCTGGGCTTTTTGGGGGGGGCGGGGGGGCGGAAAGGGGAGGAGCGAGGGCTTTCTTTTTGTCTCCTATATCCGGTATTGGGAACTGGAGAAATCAAGAACCGAGAAACACCAGCAGCTGCAGACAAAAAAGAAAAAAAATGCTCCAAGAAAAGGCGAGTAAAGGGAGGAAGGGAAGTAAGGTCTCTATACTTCACTTGAAGTGACAAAATGTCAGCACCAGGAGACTGATAAATTATGTGTATGTAATGTAATACTTTTTAAGAAACTACTTGAACAGCTATCCAAAAAAAACACAACACTTTAAAATGCTATAAATTAATAAAAGCGGAATTCTAAACATATTCAAGTAACCCACAGGAAGGCAGGAAGAAGAAAACAGAAATTTAAAAACAGAGGGAACAAACAGAAAACAAAAAACAAAATGCTGACGTAAGCCCTACCATATTAGTAATTACAGCAACCAGAAATCATCTAAATATACCAATTAAAGGACAGAGATTGGCAGAGAGAATAAAAAACTACATACTTTCCACAAAAAGTTCACTTCAAATATAGGTAGGTTAGAAGTAATGGGGTTGGGGGGGAAATACATAATTGTTCGTAGCAGCTTTATTTGTAACAGCCCAAACTGAAAACAACCGAAATGTCCTCAAGATCTGAAGGCCACTATGGAGAGTGAGAAAAGGCAGTACTGCATGATTCTATTTACCTGACATTCTTGAAATGATAACATTATAGAGGTGGAGGACAAGTAGGCAGAGCATGAAGGAGATCTTTGTGGTGATTAAATAGTTGTATATATTGATTGCAGTGGTGGTTACATGAATCTACACATGTGAAAAAAAGTATGTAGAACTAAACACATAGTGTATCATTTCCTGGTTTTACAATTGGACTATAGTTGAGTGAGATATAATCATTATCTTTGCAACTTCATGTGAATCTATAAATATTTCAAATTTTAAAAGTTTAAAAAGAATATTTTTCCACTGATTTTTTAGAGAGTGAAGGGAGGAAGGGTGGGAGAGAAAGACAGAGAGAAACATTGGTGTGAGAGTGATACATCAATTGGTTGCCTCCCATACTTGCCCCGACCAGGGCTGGGTATTGAACCTGCAACCCAGTTACATGCCTTTGACTGGGAATCAAACCCACAACCCTTTGGTTTGCAGGGCAAGGCTCTAATCACTTAGCAACACCAACTAGGTTTCTCAATGTAGTTTAAATTTACATTTCCTGCCTGGCCAATGTAGATTGAGCATGGTCCCATACACCAGGAGGTCGCAGTTTGATTCCCAGTCAGGGCACATGCCTGGTTTGCACTTCCATCCCCAATAGGGGGCGTGCAGGAGGCAGCCAATCAATTTTCTCTCTCACTGATGTTTCATCATTGAAATCAATTTAACAAAATATTTAAATTTACATTTCTTTTTATTATGAGTAACAACGAGCATTATTTCTAAGGCACTTCGTAAATTTATTTTTTATTTAAAAATTTTAATGTTGCCATTATTGTAGGTGTTCCTCTTCCCTCCCCCTTTGCCCATCTTTTATACTTTCTTTCTGGTCACTGTCTGTGGTGTAATTGCAAATATTCTTTTCCAGTTTGGTATCTATCTTCTAATTTTGTAGGTTGTATTTTTTACCCATGCATAAGTTATTTGATGTAGACAAATTGATGTTTTTCATAGTTTCTGAAATTTGAGACATTATTTGAAAGACCTTCTGACTGTACATATGTAAAGGATTCTCCTATGTTTTCTTTTAGCCCATTTTGTAATTTCATTTTTCACATTTGAATCTTTGATCAATTTGTAATTTGTCTTACTATTAGGTATGATCCAACACCGCCTGCCCTGTACCCTTCCCCAGGGGATACAGAATTATCTCCAGACCATTGATAGTCTATCTTTTCCCCCTTGATTTTAAATGTCACATTTATCATATACTACATCCCAGTCTGTTTGGGAGTCTATTTCTAAACTGCTTATTCTATACCAACAGTCTGTCTATTTGTGCATCAATATTATTTTAATTACTGAGGTTTTAAAATATGTTTTACTATCCAAAAGGACTAGTTTCTCTGTGGCTTTTCTGTTTTAGAATTTTCCTACCTCTTCAAATTTGTTTACTTTTTCTCATAAAACTTCAGAATTATCTTGTCTAGTTGAAAAAAGTCGCATTTTGAGAGGACTGCAATAAATTCATTGGGATCTAAATTAAATTAATGTAGAAATATTTGGCGTTTTTATAATGATGAATATAGCATTTCAAGTCAAAAATATGCTATATCTTTATGTTTTTTTTCTTTATATCATTTGATATGCAGAACAATGGGTCCCCAAAGATGTTTATGCTGTAATCCCAGAACATTTGCACATGTTAGGCTATTTAGCTATGGGGAAGTAAGGTTGCTAATCAGCTGACCTTAAAATAGGAAGATTATCCTAGATGATATGAGTAGGCTCAATATAATCAGAAGGGCCCTTAAATGTGGAAGACAAAAGCAGAAGGGTCATGTGAGAAAGACTCGACTGGCCATTGCAGACTTTGAAGATGGGAGGGGGCCATAAGCCAAGGAATGTGGGCGGCCTCTAGAAACTCGAAAAGGCAAAGAAACTATCCTTTCCTAGAGCCTCTATAAAGAACTGGGAGCTAATAAATTTCTTAATAAAATGCTGAGTAAGTATTCCCGAGAAACATACCTTTCAACAGATCATACTTAAACATCAAATATAAACCAAGACCATCACAAATTTTTAGCTAATGTAATACCACAAGCAAACACTGAGCACGAAAAATGTTATCAAATGTGGGCTTTGGAAAAACCGAAAGGTAACCAGCCTCTTTTTCAAGAAATTTCTTGTTAGCAATCAAAACCTATCTGGAAAGCTAAGACAGAATCCTGACAATTGCCTTTAAAAAGAGCCTTAGTTAGGACTGTCAATTTAATCCATACTCACAGTAAAAATGGGAAAACAACTGAGTAAAACAAAGAAGAAGAAGAAAATAGGAAAATCGATTGGGCAGAACAAAATAAAATACTGATTTCTAAGTTCACACCAATAATTATTAGATAATAATGGTTTCCCTTTTCTAGAAAAGAAAGGAAAAATAAATGGTCTCATTCCTGGTCAAGGCTAATGCCAGGTGGAGAGGTCAACAAGGACTTAATGAACACAATATACTCATTCCTACTTAATAATGGATGCTGTTAGACCTGTGACGACAGTTCCTTTTGAAGAAATAATGTGAAGCTCTCAATCCAATGACAAGTAGTAGTTGTGATGGGTAATAACTTAGTAACAGCCTAAATGCACATTTTTATGAGACCAGGTAACTCTTCTCAGGCAAGTAAAAAGCAGACTAATGAGATGTTCCTATGGGATTCGACATAGCACCAGACAGGAAAACATCCTGTCTGCTATGACACTGCCTGGAGGAAAGGCTATATAAGCACTTCAAAGAGGAAAAAGCCACAAAAGGCTCAGAATTTAGACTCAGTCACAGTAGCTTGAGCTTTTGATGCAGGAGAACCACAGACTTTGAAATAAACCAAAGCTGGGCACACACTATGGATACCAAGGACTGCTCAACAACTAGTTCTTCTTCAACCCCATGCCAAGGCTGCTCTAGGATTACAAATTTTAGGATCATCTCCTCCAACACCAGCTGCCAACAACTTGAAACCAACAAATGCCAACCAACTGGCCATGTTCTGAGAACTTTCCAGTCCCAGGGCTGCCAACCCACTCCTTGCTTTTGCCCTATGCCCATCTGCTTAGTAAACAACGTCGATTGTGGCTGGTGTGGTGAAGGCATCAACAGCCATGAGAAAGAGACCATGCAAATCCTGAATGACCGCCTTGCTAACTACCTAGAAAAGGTGCGGATGCTGGAACAAGAGAACGCGGAACTGGAGTGTAAAATCCAGGAAGAGTGTAACAAAGAGCTCCCGGTCATATGTCCTGATTACCTGTCCTACTTTTCTACCATCAAGGAACTCCAGCAGAAGGTAAGATTCTTGGCAACCTGTATAATCAAGTTTTGAATTTACATTCTCCAATATCTTTATTTCCTTTTATGCTGAAAAATGTAGAATAAAAAAATGTCTTGAAGGAAATTGTCATTTTGATGCAATATTCAGAATTGTAGTTATAGTTTTTCATTTTCCAGAGATAGGCTCTGCTATTATTTTAACCAGATAACTCAGGACCAAAATGTGTTAATAACCCATTGCTGCCATTTCCTTAACAAAGGTAAGAAAACAGGGATCTGAGAAAATGAATTTTGTTTTAATAAGTTCCTAACTAGTATAATTTTTGTCCATGTTTTCCACCATCACCACTTTTTCTATCTCATGCTCATTTCTTCATCTCCCAATTTTTTAAGTACTTTCTTCCCACACCAAACCTAACTTTCCTATTCAGAGTAATATGCTGCTAATCTATGTGCTGGATTTATTCTGCTTCATTAGTTTAACAAATATTTACTGAGCATAACAAAGAGGCACCAGACATTATTCTAGGCTTAGGATACATACTGGTGAACTAAAATGTCCCTGCCCTCATGGAGTTTACATTCTGGTGGCTCATGTATGTTACACAAATTTAAGGTAGATTTCATATTTTAATAAAACATCTACGCAAATTTTTATTAAAGTAATTTTGCTTAATTTTTAGGAAAATAACAAAAACTTTGATTTTCCAAAGTTGTCCAGGCTGCCTAAGCATAGCTAGGAAAAGCCTAACTAGACTTCCCCTGTTAACTGAAATACACACCAGCCCCTTGGTTTTTAAGGAAGGGATCTTGGTGTTTGTCTCATTTGTGTGTACAACTTCTTAATTCTAGATCTTGTGTACCAAGGCTGAGAATTCCAGACTGGTCTCACAAATTGACAACACCAAACTGGCTGCTGATGACTTGAGAGCCAAGTAAGCCCACCCAGCACTGTCGTTCCTGACAGAATTCACCCCTCGCCTGGTGCTAATTCCCTCAATAAAATTATACATAAGTCTACCAACCTTCCTGCCCCGTACCATGAAGGCACTAGCCCAGAAGAGACCTTCACATTCAATAAAGCGCTAAGATTAATAACCACTCATATGTATACAGTGCTTGTATTTTCTAACATATAAACCCACCTGATTACCTTCCCAATCGTTCAGTAAAATAAGTAGGGCAAATATACTGTTACACTATTTAAAGTGAGAAAACTGTGATTTAATGGGGTTCAGTTACTTATGCAAAGGCATACAACTAGTAGTTCAAGACAGAGCCAAACCTTGGATGCAAATTCTCTTAAATCCTAATCCAATACCCTGCACTTACACTGCATCACTTCAAGGGCAGGGAGAGGAGGATAACTCCCTCATCTCAAAGAAAAGCAATGTAGCATCATCTGGCAGACTAATCTAGGAATAATAACTAAGTGGTGATGTTTATCTAATGATTTCACCTCTAAAGAGAAGAAAACCCACATGAGAAATGCAGGAAATGAGAGGCCCACAAGAAAGTGCCACAAGGCAGTCAGTTCTGCTTGGCTTGATTAACACCACCAACATTTTAATGTCTTTCACTTCATGTCTCATTTTGAAAGGTATGAAGCTGAGGTGTCCCTGCGCCAGCTAGTGGAGGCAGATGCCAACGGCCTACAGCGGATCCTGAATGCACTGACCCTGGGCAAAGCTGACCTGGAGGCACGAGTCCAATCTCTGAAGGAGGAGCTCCTTTGCCTCAAAAGCGACCATGAAAAGGTTAGAGAAAGCCCCAGCTAAGCCTCTAAAAATAGCATCGATCCCTTTGAGTTGAACTTGACGAAGGGTGCCCTCTCTAGATAGTCTTCTGTTTTTTAGCCCTGATCATAACTATTACTATTACCATTGGTTCAATGTATTTCACATCAGTTGCCTATAATACAATATCTGAAGCCTCCACTTCCGCTCCAGCTTTTCTAGGAGAAGGAAATAACCCAATTTTATTGTCCTCACAGGTTTCCCCTATTTTAGTAGACATCCCTACACAGATTCCAGGCACTACTGGTATAAGGCAATATTGGCATAAGCCCATATTGGCATCATAGAGACTATGGCCTCTCATTAAAGTCCACCTCTGTGCTGCTTCACCCCCTTATCCATCCCTGGAAATGATCTAAATTCTTTAAACCCCTGATCTTGGCAGTCAATTCCTTTTAATGTTGCACTTATTTGAACACATAGTCACATCTGAAATAGGCTTAAGTCATTTTATAGCATCGCAAAAGCACCTATGAATCATGTATTCCTTTATTGTGGGCTATAGTTCAGATGTGACTAAGCTGCATTATTGCTGTTAGACTGAAACAAGAAGGCAAAGAGGCCATCGTTCACCAAGTGACTTCACACTCTCTTTCTTTCCATAGGAAACCAATTCCTTACAGAGCCAGCTTGGGGACAGACTCAACATTGAAGTGACTGCTGCCCCCTCTGTTGACCTAAATCGGGTTCTACAAGAAATGAGATGTCAATATGAGTCTATCATGGAGACAAACCGCAGAGATGTGGAACAGTGGTTCAACACGCAGGTGGGGCGGGTAGAAAAGTCAAAACCAGTGCGCGGACATTGCCCTTGCAGGGGCCCTTCAATCAAACTTATGTTCTCCATCATAATATCCATGGTCCTTGACTATGTTTCAGATGGAGGAGCTGAACCAGCAGGTGGAGACCAGCTCTCAACAGCAGCAGTGCTGCCAGAAGGAGATCATCGAACTGAGACGAACCATGAATGCTCTGGAGGTGGAGCGGCAGGCCCAGCACCGAATGGTACCCAACAAACTGTCCAAGCCTAGCGCCATATATGGCAATAGCTCCTGACACGTGTGCTGCAATGTTTCCCAAACTGCGTCCCTCAGAACAATAGTCCCTCTGTTTGTTAAAGGGTCTATGGCCAAAAAAGGACTCTATGGTCAAGTAAGCCTGGGAAATGCTGCATTAAACAAAGGTTAAACAGGAGGCCTTCCTGCAGGCCTTTGATAAGCTGATATGTACCATGAATCTCCAAGAAGGGGAAATATGGCACTCAGCATTCCAAAACTTACTTGACTGTGGACTCCTTTTTCAAAGAATTCTCATGGCAATAGTGATCCCTGAATGCACTTTGGGAAACACTAAAAGAGAATTTTATTTTATGTAAAGCATTTTTACAAACTATCAAAATTTATAAAATAGTCTTCTGAGGGAGGTGGCATAATTATTAAGCCAATTTGACTGGTGAGAGCTAAGGTGATTTTTCCCAAGCCAAATCCAATATAAGTTTCATCTCACCAAATTTATAGGTGGAGGAGACACTACGATCCTAAGGCATTCAGTCACAAAAGAATTAAGAGTCTGAGCCAGAACTCAGGATCCCAAGTTAGAACTGATTCCACCACCTATGACTCTCTGAAGCAGGGAATATGGAAAAGCTCTGAGAGCAAGGGTATTAGGAAGACCTTCCCCAAAGCTGCTTTTGTCACCAGCTAGTCATGTGTCTGGGGGCTGCTCATTTAACCTCTTGAAGCTCAATTTTCTCATCTATAAAAATGGGGATAATCATGCAAACACTAGGTTATTAAAATATAAAATTCCATTATCCATAAAACTTAAAGAATGATAGAGCAGGAAAGGACTTTAATCATCAAAGTTTCAACTCTCATATGTTATATATAAAAAATTGATTCAATGATCAACTTACAAACTATCAAAATTTATGAAATAGTTTTCTGAGGGAGGTGGCTAAACCTGCTCACTTCCTTTTTAAGGTACAAACACTCTTAAGGTACCATAGTAATGGATTTTTAATTCCTAGGTGTGAAATAAGTTGGAGTACTTTTTTCTCATAGGTAGGAAAGTGTGGTAGGAGATTATCAAGTGATTAAGAAAGAGGAGGCCAAAAAAAAAAAGAAGAGAAAAGAAAGTAGCAAGCTTTAGCATAGTTGATAATTTTGGTTTTGGATTTAGTTGGTGAGGTGATAAGAGGGCTTGAAGATTCATTAGCATCTGTCACAAAGAAACCCCTGTTGAGAATGGTACAGATCACAAAGACCTGGGCTTAAAGGAGTCATCATTCTAAATCCTGCTTTCCTCCTGTGCGGCAGAGAGACTCGCAGGAGTGCCTGCTGGCGGAGACGGAGGCCCGCTACACAGCCCTGCTGGCCCAGATGCAGTGTCTGATCGATAACCTCGAGGCTCAGCTGGCGGAGATCCGATGTGCTCTGGAGAGGCAGAACCAAGAATACGAGATTCTGCTGGACGTCAAGTCCCAGCTGGAGTGTGAGATTGCCACCTACCGCAGCCTGCTGGAGAGCTCAGACAGCAAGTGCGTAACGTAACAACATCTTTATGAAAAAGTCACTCGCAACATGTATGTATGTATGTATGTATGTATGTACTACCACCGGCAACAGGGCAACAGTGCTTTGATCTGACCAGTGATGGGAAGCTTTGGATGAAAGGGTCCATACACTCTCTTAGGCTGTGCCATTTGGACATCCACATAGTAACCTAGTCGAGCTGAGCTCAATTCTTTTGAGGAGTTGGTGTTCCTGGTTACTTCCTTATAGGTTTTTAACTTCTTAGACTTTTAAAAATCTACCACTGGCAACAGGGCGACAGTGCTTTGATCTGACCAGTGATGGGAAGCTTTGGATGAAAGGGTCCATACACTCTCTTAGGCTGTGCCATTTGGACATCCACATAGTAACCTAGTCGAGCTGAGCTCAATTCTTTTGAGGAGTTGGTGTTCCTGGTTACTTCCTTATAGGTTTTTAACTTCTTAGACTTTTAAAAATTACTAGGGGGAAAAGTGGTTTCTTTAAAGATGAACATTCCTGGTGACTTACAGATTTTCCCCACTGAGTTGAACATCTGAATTTCATGAGATTGAACAGTACAACCCTGCTCCCTTTGGAGGAAGCTGCTTAGGCTGAAACCCTTATCCCTCTCCAGCCACTTACCCTCGATGCCAACAGCATCATGTCCATATGCACTCTTCAGCATACTTTTATAGAAGTTGTAATGTTTTTAAATTATAAGAAATTATGTAATGTTTTTAAATTGTTTTGAGTGACACGTGTTGAAAAATTAACCACCGCCATTTTTCTCCAGAGCCAGTGTTGCCTTCCCTCAGTCACAGGTACAATTCTGTTTTTGTCTAGGCTTTCCTGCAACCCGTGTGCCACTATATGTGAGCCTTCAGTTTGCACAATCATGGAATGCACAGCCCCAGTTTACACATCATCTTCAGCTCTCCAGGGGATACCCGAGCCCAGCTGCGCCTACAGAGACCTACCCCGACTACTGGCTAAAATCTTGACCATCACCAAGGAGATTAAGGATGGGAAAGTCATTTCTTCTCATGAGCATGTGCAGCCTTGCTTCATCATCAGAGCTGCCAAAGTCTAACATCCCAAGGTGATGAAAGTGGCCCTCATTCATGAAAGAGAGGCCAATTCTTGCTCCTGCCAGAAAGGTTTAAGAATTCCCCAGTCCCTTCAGGTACTTAAGTTTCTTTCTACTACAGTGGGTCCCCATTGACATTCTTCTGCTCCTGTCCCAAGTCTCTGCAGCCAACGTGATAAAAACTGACATTCTCTGGAAGCACATTTCACATTTATCTGAGGAACAAGCACTGATTTGTAAGTGCCCAGGAAGGTGACCTACATTACTGCCCACAGTGATGGGCAGGTTTCTCTTTTGTTTATTCAGGTCTTAAAATATCAAAAAATTCTATATGTGACACGGCACCAGAGTTAAGTTAGGGTTTTTCAAAATGCTGACACGCCAAGCTCAAAAGTTCGCCATCACTAGTTTAAATCCTGTTGAACTCTGTTGTCCTAAATACTGTTTACCCATGTGTACATACTTTATCTTCCCCAAGATGTTTTAAAGATGTCCATGTTCTCCAAAACTTTGGGAACCATTAGGCTCTTCAAATATTTTCACTGAAAATTGGGAACAATTATGGGGAGTGGATCGAGAGCGTTTTGAAGAAATAGCATGGATCCTCTCATTAAATGTTTGCTATCTCTCTTTCTATTCTTTAGGGAATGGGATTTGGTTCTGATGGTTTTACAAGGGACATGTAGCTGGAACGCTCAAGACATAACCCTGCTCCTCTGTCTCCCTGTGATGGGTCACTATGGAAAAATAACTTAGATGCCTGCTTCAGTCTATCCACCAGAGAGAATGGACTTAATATTCACAAACTCTGCCAGAAAGTAATCAGGAATACTTGCTCTTGCAAACACGAGGCAGTCCCAGAGTGAGAAGGTCCATTTATGTCCCCAACCCTTATCAAAGCTTCTCACAGTCGGGTCACAGAGCTTGTAGGTCATTCCCTATGAAAGTTACTTGACATTTCCAGAGGCCCTTATCAAAGCTTCTCACAGTCGGGTCACAGAGCGTCTAGGAGGTCATTCCCTATGAAAGTTACTTGACATTTCCAGAGGTTTTAGTAAATAATTCTGAGTCAAACGCAGAACAGGGAGCCAGAAAGCCTGAAGTCCTAAACTTGCCACTTCGGCCTTCATCCAATTTAATTTCCTTGTTTGTTAAATGAGGATCATGCCTACTTCACACGGATATTGTGAAGATCAAATGAAACTGTTTATGCAATGCTGCTCTGTATGCTGGAAAGCACTACATAATTGTTAGTTTTATATAAGCTTTGTTTTAGCCATGGCTCTAGACCTGTGTCATTATTATCTCAAGTTAAAATTCTTTCTCCATGAATGTATCTATCCAGTCATGATTTTGGAGTTTTAACAGTGTTTGGCTTTGTGGGGGGGCAAAGAATAGAACAAGCTCCCCTGTGACCAAGCCCACAATTGTAGTCAATAAAGCATTTTTGAAGTCTTAGGATATGTATCAGGTATCAGTTGATGACTGATGCCCACATCAAAGACAAAAGCATTAACTCACAGCTCAGCAATCCACTTCCTCCACACAAGCAGCAACTTACACTAAGCAAGTGGAATGCAGAACTCCCAGGGTGATCTCTTTTCTATCAATAATTTCTCTCTCATCTGAACGCCCAGGTTAGCCCTGGTAGCACCTCACTGAATACTATCTCAGATGGAGGGTGGAAATGTGGAAAGAGCATGAGACTTGGACTCAGAAACCTGAGGGCAGAGTCACAACCGAGCCGGTGTGGGTGACCCTGAATAAAAGGGACATAACAACTTGGGCCCTGCCTCCCGTGCGGCTGGAAGGATTAAATGGGATACTGATGGTGAAAGGGTTTTGTAAGCTGTAAAGTGCTCTGTGGAAGGCAGTTTATTCCCTAATTTGAAAGCCGGGTGTATGTCATTTCCTTCCATGCCATCTTCCTTTGTGTTGGTTCAGTGATGGTCCCTGGTGGACCCCATACATACCATCAACAAACTGGGAAGCCAACTGGTGAGAGGCCAGAGCTGCTCAGTCTGCTCTGAGTTTTAATTCCAATAAGACTTAGGGTTTAGGAACCTCGCTGGGCTCAGACTAACCTCAGGCTGATGGAGCGCCATTGTCAATCTATCCCAGAAATAGCACATCTTCCTCCCACTCGGCAAAGTATCCCACATGCCTTCCATAATAAAAATAAACTACAGAATGCATAGTAAAGAAGGGGTCTGACTACTCAGGTGCACAGATTCTTTAAGTGTTTTCTCTATGTAAGGAATGTAAAACCATCTGCTAGACGTTGTATATGAGTAGTCAAACCTTGTAAAGGCAATGAGGGGTCCAGATTTTTACCAGGAAGCTAAATCAGTATCCTATGCAGCCACAGGAGGGAGTTAAAGGTGGTTTTTTTTATATACACAGGTCAGCAAAGGTCAGCAGCTAGCATAGAAAAGGAGCTGGTGGAGAGGGAAATGAAGGAGTCAATACAAGTATAATTTTAGCACAGCCCAAAAGACAAGCATGAATCAAGAAACACCATGGTCCCTGGAGCCTGAGTTCAAATCCCACCACTGCTTCTTCACTGTGAGACCTCAAGTGGGTTATTGAACCTTTCTGAACATGGCTTTCCCCATCGGCAAAACAGGGATATTAGTAATAACTACCATCAGATCATTGTGAGAATTAAATAAACTAAAGCATGTAAAGTACTTAGAGGAGTATCTGGCAAACAGCACATATTCAATATACACTGAGTGGCCAGATTATTATGACCGGCCAGATTATTATGACCACCCCATCAGTACTTCATTGACACTTCCAAAAATACTGAATACTGAAAACTTCCTAAGCAAATACTCTCAAGGTTTTATTATTATTATTACTTGCATAACTAATTCACTTCATTGTACTGATGGGGTGGTCATAATAATCTGGCCGGTCATAATAATCTGGCCACTCAGTGTATGTTAGTTATTCTTATAAATATTGCCATTATTAATATAAATGTAACACCAGTGTGAGCCTCCTTGGGAGACAAGTGCTATAGAGTACAATAATGCCATTAATAATAATAATAATAATAATAATAATAATAATGGCTGCGGTGTGCTGAGCATCTCCCATTATCAGACCCTGTGCGGCAGAGCCTTTCACATCGCAGCCTCTCATCCTCAGCACAGCCCCACAAGGCAGCTCTTTTTATTCCTCTCTCCATACAATGAAAGGAAACCTCAGACAGAGCAAATGGCTTTCCCAGAGCTAGATAGTGACAGAGCCAGGACTCAAACCCAGATCTCTCTGACCCCCACCCTCATGCTCTTAACCACTCGGCCAAGTTACAGACACTTGAAACCAAGGCATCCGTGAGTCCCAGTCCTGGAAGGCAGCTGTGATGCCAGGTTCCTTCCTCCAAGCCCACGAAGTCCTAGTGAGACACTCACCGAGCACTGACTCCATGGAGCCAGGTGGGCTCTTGTTTGCTTGTCTTGGATAGAGAAGGGATATCAGCACCCATTTGTATTCATAAACAAGGAAATATATTTTCTCTATGTTTTGTCTTTTTTCATGTTGACTCCACCTTCATATGAGAGCTGGTTTAAACCCCTTCGAACACAGGGGTAACGTTACTTCTACTTCTCTCTTCCCCTCCGTCTCTCACCCATTCACTGCACCCCCATCCTTATACATGGCCCATGACCTCTCCATCCTCATCCTCCAAGATCAATCCATCATTTTCTGCTTAGAAGAGGCTGCCCAAAGATTTTCCTCAAGAGTTCGGTCAGTTGTAACCCCTCACCTTACTTCCCACCGGAATTTCTCTACTCAGCCCAGAAACCACCTACAGCCAAATCCCCTGGGGAGCTTGTAAAATCCAGATTCTTGAGCCCTACCCCAGACCTCCCACACTGCCATCTCCAGGTGTGGGGCCCGGAAATTCAAATTTTAACAAAATCCTCAGCTAAAGCATTTGTGCTGAATTAAAAGCCACTGCTTTCTAATTGGTTTAAAGATCTGGATGACTCGATGCCTTTTTAAGGTTCTTTTAGGTTCTGACATTAGCTTGACAGATGACCACACTTGCAGATGATTCTTCCCCTACATGCCTAATCACCTCTTTATAAAGTGGGGGTGGTTAATCAATAAGTTAATAATTATTACAAACTAATTTAATCCTCACAACACCACCATGAAGTAGCTACTATTAATATTTACATTTAAAAGATAAGAAAACTAACAGAGAAGTCAAATGATTTGCCCAATGCCACACAAAAATTAGACTGAATTTTAAGTACTTTGATTTCCTTAGCAAGGTCAAAAAATGTGCCTGATACATTATATAACCTGTCTCCAAGAACAGAAGCAGTATTTTTATCCATAGTCACAATGCTGTACAGCAGTTCTCTAGATTAGAACTTACTCATTTTTCATAACTGAGACTTCAAACCCCTTGATTAGCAACACTTCCTTATCCCCTCCCTTAAGCCCCCATTAACCACTACTCTATTCCTTATTTCTATGTGTTTGTATGTTTTTAGATATATCATGTAAGTGGAATCATGCATTATTATCTTCCTGTAACTGGCTTATTTCACTTAGCATAATGTCCTCAAGGTTCATCCTTACCTACTTGATATCCATGGCCATTAGAGAAGCAACTTAACTCTACTTACCCAACAGACCTAGCGAGAGAGACCATACTTTGGGCTGAATTTCTCCAAATCCCTATAGTTGGTTGTAGAGAACTGCCTATCCCCAACTTGTATGCAATAGTAGAAAGGTCTTCTTTCTGCACCCCAAATGGGGAATAGGTGTTTGTCAGCTCATGTTCCACTGACCCATCAGATAAAAAATAACTGTGCCGCCCCTCACTGCCACTCTCCGAGAATCCACCCCCTTCTCACCTGTACCCCCAGCAAAACTTTTGTGGGTGCAGAGAGAAGTCTCAAAGTGGAAAGCATATAAAAATTACAACCCATTTAAGAGAACTTAATAACTTGAGGGAAAGAAGACTAGGATGAAAATTCAGAACAAGTGTCTTCTACTAAGGCATTAGGAAGAGCCAGAAAAGAACTTTGGCCATCTCTGGTCAAGAAGCAAAATCACATGCTGACTAAGAACAGAGACTTGAAGCTAGACCAGCTGGGTCTGATTCCTGGCCCTGCCACCTCTTGGTGGGAGATCTTGGGCAAGTTACCCAACCTTTCTATCTCCACTTCCTCATCTTTAAAATGAGGCTATTAATAGCATATACTTCATAAGGTTGACATTAATTAATGCATGCAAAGCTCTTAGAGTATGCCTGGCAC